GGCCCCTGTCTCGGCCTCAGGCTGGAGGTGTCAGGCGGCCTGGCAGCCCTGTGAACATGAGGGCACTGGCAGCAAGCCCCGCCCGGCTCTGGCTGTGGGGGCCAGGGCCAGCGCCTGGGCACCAGAATGCTTTGTGCCCAGCAGCTGGGCCCAGTCCTCAGTGTCCGTGCTGAGGAGCTGGCGGCCCCGTGGGGGCCGCAGAGTCCTGCCCTGGCCAGACTGTCCTTGCGCAGCAGAAGCTGCCATCACCACTCCTCCAGGAGTCTTCACTGACGGGCCCGGCCCCCAGCCGGCCTCGCGCGCCTTCTCTGAGAACGAGGCGTCTGCGTCAGCTGGGCCTGGCGTGCAGCGGGAGCCTAGTGAGTGCAGCAGTGAAGAGCTGCCCCCAGGGCGTCAGCGCAGAAGGGTCCCTGCCGGGCCTGGAGCACTGAGCCCTCACGGGCCTCCCGTGGGCCCTCGCTCACCAGCTGGGCACCGGCCACGCTGCTCCCGGCTCCTTGCTCCCGTCTAAAGAACACTCCCGGGGGGCTCGGCCCGGCCTGGGTGGCGGCGCTGACGGGCCAGAGCAGGCAGGGCAGGGCCTGCCCTGTGTGGGCCCCCGCCCCCCGCGAGAGGCCGTGGCTTCTCCCGTGGGGCTCCCCTGGCGGCCTCCTCGCGGGGGGCGTCTGGTTTCCTGTTTACAGTGGGGAGCGCCCCACGGTTCCCAGATTATTAACGCACACGCAGCTAGAAGCGAAGGCTCGGGCTTGCACGGGAGGGGGCTGCGGGTGACGTCTGCTCTGCACGGAGGTCACGGCCCCACGCCGGCCACCGCCCACACGTGCGGAATAGCACTCAGCCGTAAAGAGGGGTGAGCCCTGGCCCGTGCACCCCGGGGCGACAGACCCAGACACGAAGGGCCCCTGGTGCGCGACACCCCTCGCCAGAGATGACGCAGAGGGCAGGCCAGTGTCGGGGGCGGGGGGTGACGGGAGCGCGGGGAGGGGCCGCCCCACGGTGGAGGCGGGTGGCGGTGATGGCCCCACAGCCATGCACGATGCGGAAACCAGCGCCTGCGCGCTTTGCCGGCTGGCTTTGCCGGC